TTTAGTCTAGCTGGCCAGGGGGATAACAAATAAATAAAAATAAATAAAAGCCTCTGATCTAGAAGTAGGACACCAGCAGCCTAGATAGGACAACAAGCCCAGCTTCCCTTTCAGTGACTTTACACATAGCTGGGGAGGCCCTGCCAACCCTGGGGCCCTAGACTGGGTTGTGGGAACCCCACCACCACCACCACCACCCACCCCTGCTGCAGTGCTATGTATAGCACAAGGCAGGCACACCAGTAAAAGCCAGAGCTCAACAGATACCTGGTCACAGGTGCGATCTAGCCTTTGCAAGTAATTTCACACAGCATCAATAGAACCCTACATAAAATGGGTACAGCACCCCACTACCTAGAGGAAGAGTTGGAACTCCTCCAGCCTCACAGACAGGTTATCAAGCCTCAGTTATCACCTTACCTACTACTCTATTTCTTCCCCTCAGTATTCATTAGCATTTCTATCCTTCCCACCGCAGTCAGTCTCAACGAGCTGGGGTTCTTTTTGCTCTTTCTTTTTCCCCCCTCTTTTTCCTCCTCTCTCCCACTCTCTCCTATCATAAACCACTACTGACTTCCAGATCACTACCCTCCATTTAGGGCAAATCAACCCAAACAGCAGGAGGAACTCCACCCCACCCTTCGTGGCAGTGCTGAACACCACACAAGGCAGCTGGGACAAACATCTACACCACACTGTGCTGCTGAGGAAACCTCTGTCGGACCTCTAGGCGAGCTCATCAACTAGGGCAATACTGCCCAGCACCACTGGGTCCCTGCATCAAAAGAGCCCACCAACCTGCCATTGTGAGGCAGGGTCTAAACCCTTTTGGCCCCACATACAAGTAATCAGGGATCAGCTATCTCTTTATTCTTTATTTCCCCTTCTTGCTCTCCTCCCTCTTTACCATCATAGACAATCTTAGTGAACACAGTTGGTTTTTTTTATTCCTTTCCCCTTCCTTCTCCTTTTTCTCTTTCTCTCCTCTATCTTTGTTCTCATTGCTTCTCTCTCTGGTTGTATAATTCTCTCTTCTCCCTCTCATTCCCTTTACATGCCACTGCTGGTTCCCAGACCCCTACACTCTGCCTAGGGCAACCCTGTCCTCCCAGTGGGCAGCCTGACTCCTAAGACAGTGCTCCACACAGGACGAGTCAGTGATACACACAGCACAGCACGGGGTCAGCTATTTCTTTATCAATTTTGTCAGTTCTGTCTCCCTCTCCTTCCTTTTTTCTTTTTTT